GTTCAATACAGTGCTTTAGGTTAAATACACACTTGTATTGAACAATACAGATTTTTTTAATTTATTTTATCAACTTGTCTTCTGAAGATGCTCTGTGTTAAAGGATCAGTGGATCTGTGTTCGACTACTCCACCTGGGCTGCATTTTCGAGTGCAGATCCACTGAGAAACTTGCTGTTTCAGCAACATTTAATTTAAAAACTGTATTTGGAGGTTAAACAAATGTCCATAATTAATTTAAATAAATTACAATTTAAAAAGGGCATGGACATTTCTCTTTTTTGTATCGAAAAAATATCGAACCGTGAGACTAAAGTATTGAACTGAACCGAATCCTGAATTTTCTGTATCGCTGCAGAATCTAGGATATAAGACATATTTTCAGTTGTTTCACACTTTTTTGTTAAGTACATAATTCCACATGTGTTAATTCATAGTTTTGATGCCTTCATTGTGAATTTACAATTTTCATAGTCATGAAAATAAAGAAAACTCTTTGAATGAGAAGGTGTATCCAAACCTTTGGTCTGTACTGTATATATAATCTGAAGGTGTGGCAGTGCGCCACAATCAATTATATGTAGTGGAAACCCTGATGAATACAAAGATGGTAGTTTCATAAAACCATAAGTAATATATTACCATAATATATTACCATTAAATAATATATTACCATAACCATGGTAATATAACATGGATGAAGTATTCACAGCACATCTTAAACACTAYGGTAAAGAGGACAGTAAATAATCTAATACAAATAAACACTGACAAAATGTTTTCTCARCCAAGCTTTAATCACTTACAAATGAGCTGACACATTGTAGGTTTGTATCAACATTCAAAATCTGCTGAGTCTGTCTAACAGCCTTTGTGCACAAAGGGATTCACAGGATACTTAATGAATTTTGACCTAGATCTTACACCCCAATGAGCAGTGTGTGAGTGACAGTTCAACATATTGTATTCATTAGYTGTGCTTGCAGGAGACTCACATGACATAAACTGCAATGAAATCATGTGCAAGTTGTCACATTGCAAATTTTACTAAACAATAGAGAAAGAAAACACCAAGTAAATATACTAATTAAAAAATTATTACTCCAACACTGTAAAAAACTGAGTTTACCTTGTCTCATCAGGAATGGCCACTTTGTCTTTTTCCCAGGTTATAACAGGAGTRGGTACTCCTTCAATTTGGCACTCAAAACGAGCAGATCCCCCAGAGGGCACCGCATGTGATGATGGCTCCTGATAGAACTGAGACAGACCTAAAGGGTCCRGAAGTAAGATTAACAGGTTATATATCAAAGCAGACTTGTCCTTGAAGACAGACACAACCTAATCAAATTTAAGATTCCTATCTCAACTTTTACTGTTGGCCTTTTTCACAGAACTGTTCTGTAATTTAAACACAAACATAATCTTTAGGCTGCCTCCACATCACAAATCAAGCAGGTTGTGTCCTGAGATGACGTGAATCTTAAAAGAAGAAGCTGAAATAGCAGAACCATACGAGTCACAGCTTTTTACTCAGTGAAGCTTACATACTGCACTATGAGTAAAACATGTCCCAGTTCAACTTTTGTAGCTGGCTTATCACACAAACTGTCATCAYTACATCACACCCTCAAGGCATGATGCYGGCTTTTCATGTATTGAATGTTTTGGCTCTGTTACTTTGGTAACTCTAAGCGTAACAGCGGCAGGTGACTTCAATCTCCCATGCATCGTCTGTCCTGACATAAATCCCACTGAGAMAGAAAAAAGACATCTGAGGCCTGATTATGTTTTGTGGAAGGGGCTTATGGCAAACAGGACACAGTTTATAAGATGGTGATTACATGTGATGTGTAATCAGAGTGCACACAAAYTAATGAATATATTGTGTGTATATGYATATTATAGCATCTTAAGCACTGTCAGTTAAACCAGGTGTGGGCATCAAGACCATTGAGTCTGCTGGATTGCCAAAACTTTCTCTTAGCATGCAATCTGTGCATATACCACTTAAAATATAGTTATGRTTTATGACAGGACAAGCATTCACTTGCAGTACCCACTTTCTGTTTTTTTCTAGGCTTTTTTGGCATTCGAAGGAATAGATTTTTTTTGTTTGTCCCCTAGTTAAGGTCATTTTCAGAGCGTTAAAATATCTCCAAACATTCAAGAATCTAAGAAATATTCTCCACTCCTGACAGCTCAAAACATTAAATTATTCACACATTTGCACACAAAAGCAGGATTCCCTCTGTAGTTGAGCTCTGTGGTGTCGAGCAGCAGAGGGCAGCAGGGAGTATGGTCTATGGGCTTCTGACCTCTTAACCCCACATGCTGTTGGAAGAAAGAACAAAACAGGCAAACTGTCCCAAACACTTTGCCTGCAGCACTGACTGAGAAGGAGAGAGTGGGGGAGGATGAATGAAAAGAGAACACAAAAACAAGACAGAGAAGGCAACTGATAAAAACATGAAGAAACTGCAAAAACRAAATGATACATCTGGACTCAACAATACAGCTTGAAGTTCACTGAACAAATTGCAAAGTACTGAAAATAATATTTYGGTACATCAAGTTTGTCTTCAAGGAACAAAAAAAGGCATCTAAATATACTATCAGTATTATTTTTTTAACACAGCTTCTCAGTGTGCACATACTGTTACTGTGCAACTAATTCTAACCAGGGCTGGATGGTGGCACATTTGTTGTTGCCTTGCAGCAAGAAAGTCCTGGGATTGACTCCTGTCGGGGGCTTTTCTGCACACATTTAGCATTTTTTTCTATACATAAATTTGTTTTTCTGAGTATTCTTATTTCTTCGCACAGTGCAAAAACAATGGCCCTAGGTGTAAGTGTGAATGGTTTGTTTTCTATGTTGCCTCATGATGGACTGGCAGCTTATGCCAATTGACTTGGGGGTCTTTTGCCCAATGACGGCTGGTGACAGGCATCAGCTCCCCACACTCCTGCACAAGTTCAGATTAAAAACATACAAAAATAATAAATGTAAAGATATTTTAGATTAAATTAGTGCAAACTAAAACATACTTTAATTACCCAGCAGAGCTAAATATAAAAGTTTTTATATGTTGTACTTTCCTATAACTTTCTGAAATTCTATAACCACAGCTGTATAAATTTACAAGCTTTGCATAGGATGGGGGAAAGAAGAATGCATCTTCTCGACCCCCCCCCCCCCCCCCAATTAAAATAAATTCCAACTATGACCATTGTCTCTTTGAACAGCCAAATTAACACTAATTGGAACTGACCCAAGGGTTGTATTTTGCCCTTGAGCCACATTTTGCCCATTTACCTTGAGCATGATAATGAGGTACAGCTGATGTATGGATGGAAATCTAAAATGACACCATTTTTAAAATACAAACATACAATGAAATTAGACAGATTATTGCCTGAGAGAAAACGGGGG